TGTATTCTGAAGATATTTTGCATATGTGATTTATTAGAAGTATGAAACATGTCTTGGGTGGTAGCAGTATAAAATTCTAAGACCCATTTTTAATTCAGTGCTGGCATTACTCTCTCTGAGAAATGTATTTTTTCCAACCATAGTAAGGAACATGCTTTGCAAAATATTTGAAAATAAAGCTCCCTATTTCTAGTATTGGTCATAAAGTAAAAGGAGTATGAATCCCATGTTAGTGGAGGAGATACATTGGTTCTATATTCCAAGGGGGTTTGTTGCACATGGAGTTATTCTGCCAACTTGTTCCCTGTTGTTTCATTGTGCTGCTTTTAAGGTTTTGCACCTCTGGGTTTTTTGTTTCCCTTTTTGAAAGGGAGAAGTGAAGTGAATGCTTAAAGACAAGGATACACTTTCCAGTGATAAAATATTAACATTTTGAAGTGCTCCTCCTAGTTATTCTGCATAACTGTTTCCTTGTGTTGTATGGGTGTTATCTTCTCGAGGCGAGTATAATAATTCAGAGAGAGGCCTGAATGACTTCAGGCCAAAGCTGAGGTTACTGTACCGGAAGATTTTACTCAAATGGTGTGTGCTTTTTGCAGGGATTTAAGTTATGAACATGATGTTGTGGCTGAGTGTTGGACTGCTGGTAAGAGGATAACAGGCAATGCTATCTAATTAAATTCAGAGCAGTTTAGAGAGCCATGTGGGAAGAGAGCTGCAGCAGGAAAAACAGGCATCATTGCATGGAATTCTGCAGCAAAATCTGAATTGGAAACCTGCACTGTGAAATTCTCCTGTATTTCCATGGCTCTTCCTGGCTGGCAGGAACATGGCATAATGGGCCACCTTTCAGCAGAGAAATCCAGTGCTTCTTCCCTGAAAGAATGACCACAGGCACACATTCTGGTTTCCTCTGAAAATCTGTATATTCTTCTCTTATTGATCACATAAGCAACAGCAAACCTTGATGAGGTCAGTGCTTTCAGGTCTCTCTATTTCAGGTCTCTATATTTTTATCAGCTTCAAAAGGTCTTTCCTGTTTCATTTGCATCTAGAAAATACTATAGAATTGTATCTGTCCCATTATATCTTTAGTTCAGTTCGTGGTCGACCCTTCAACTTTAACAAATGCTTTTGGTGCTTCCACAGAATGCCTAAACATGCAAGAACTGTACAGAGCAGAAACAAGGGCAAGTTCACTATTCTTAGAGAGCCAGTCCCAAAAAGAGCAATGAACGAGCCAAGCTGATGCTTACATGAGAAGATGAGCATTTTGCGGATTCTCTGTAATCAGAGAATATCATTCTATCCTAAAGTGAGACATGAGTTTGTAGTTGAAAGATCACGGCTGACATAAGTGGAATGTTCAGCTTTAGCAGCAGGCTTGTGGAAATGTCACTGTTGTTTGTTCCTTGCTAAAACCATCTCTCTGCCTCTAATCCCAAGAGGGAAGCTTGCACGTTTACCGCGGCTGCCCGGTCTGCCCGTGGCCGGAGCTGCCTCCTTGCAGGGCCGTGTCCGCGCCGCGCTGGGATGGTGCCTGTCTGGGGTGACGTTCTCAGCACTCCTGCACGTGTGGGCACGTTGCACAAAGCTGGGCTGGGACAGGGAGCAGGGCCACCTCCTGGCTCCGTTTTGTAGCGTGGCACCTGCGGAATGCATGCCCGAATTATTTGGAATTGTTGCCAGCAAACTTTCCTCCCCTGAAAGTTACCTGTGGGGCATATTTGTGTGGGGTGTGACTCTGCTTGTTGTGATTAAGCTTTCTTAGAGGCTACTTCCTAATAACTTTATCTAGTCAGTTTAATGTAGCTTTACTTCAGGCTTGTGGGTTGCTTTTTTTGTATGTATGTGTTTTTTGTTTTTGTTTTTTTTCACTGCATAATCAGTCTACATCCAAAATATACATCATAAAATAGGATGCTGAATGCTCATTTGCATTGTTAAGAGTCATAAAATGAAGTATCACAAGGTTTCTGTTTCATTAAAAGCAAGTAAAAAAATTAGTGCGCTAGACAGTTGTGTAATGTGTTTCCTTCAGTACAGTGTTTCCCTGAGAGCACTGTATTCAGTTATCATCCCTAATGACTATAATGCATTGAGTCACGGCGTTGTTTTGTAAGAGCTTTCATTTTTCATTGTTTGTTCTCAAGGTTATATTATGCCATATGCCATTTTATATTTTATGTACTGCTCCAGACTATTTAAAAATATTTTTAATCCTTTTAAGAAAATTGAAATAACTTTGCTCTGGGGAAGAGGCTGTACATCTGCTTCAAGTATTCCTAGCAGCTGCAGTGAATGTTGTTTCCTTCCCTGCCTAAAAGGTACAGGTCGTGTGTGTTGAATTTTAGTGTGTTCAGAGGTGGTCATCCTCATGTGCTCTTATATTAGTATTTCTTCTAGTTATTCAGCTTGAATTGCATGCCCTTTGAAATTGTCCAAAGGTAGTTTAGTTGTTTAAATGATTTTGAAGATGGGAGGTAGAAATATTTCTGCTTTGCCAAAGGTGAGAGAAGTTGGGATGAAAATGAGAAAGTTATGAAGAGGAAAGGATGGATTTCTTATTTTATTCCAGTAGATTTGCATTGTGGATGAGAATGAACAAACTGCTTAAATAGGTTATTCAAAGCTCCTATTTTGATTTGCTTAAATCTCTATTCTACCAATTACTTTTTGTAGCTGTGTGTGGTTTTTTTGCTGTTTTGTTCTTTACTTTTTGGATGAGACAGGGCACTGCCTCTTCTATAATGTTCCTAGCAGAGCTACTACCCCAGCTGCAGCCTTTGAGCCCTCGTGTGGCATTTGCTGCACCAGAGGATCCTGCTGCAGCTGTGGGAGGGCTGAGACCGCTTGGCTAAAGCAGCGTCAGCCCCTCAGTGCCGTGACCCCCTGTGCTGGGAATAGCCCCGGCAGGGAGCAGCTTTGCAAACAGCGCTCCAGCCTGGCAGGCTCACATAGGAAGAATGTTTTAAGAGGAAGGGATCACAAAATTTAGCCTGCCAAATTTTGACTGAATTTTGACTCCCACCTTTTTCATTGTTTCTATTTTCTCTGTTTCTTTTGTGCACTTAGATCTTGGCTGAATTTTGACTCCCACCTTTTTCATTCAAGAACGACAAACACTGAAGTTTTCTGAAATTCATCTAAACCATATGGCTTTTATATACACATAGATATAGAAATACTGAGGATATTATTTTTAAAGAATATGGACAGTAACATTTTTCTGTCTCCCTTCTGGAAACAAACTGTTTTGGCCGAAGTTTTCATCAAAATAATCAATCTTATGTTGGCACCTGACAAAGTTGGCCTTTAAAACTATCAAATAAGGAAGTAAGTGTGAAATGCAGGAGACTTTTAACAGTATGCACTGCTACCTGCTCCATTTACATTTGCTGTCAACATGTAGGTATGTTCCTTAGCAGTTGCTGCTGACAGAGCTGGAAGATTTCCATTCAGGGGAGCCAAAGGAATCATTTCTGCTGCTTTTGTCTGTTCCTGGAGATTTGTGTTATTTTGGCTCCTTTTCATGGCATTTTAATCAAGATTATGCAGCCGTGAAAGATTTGTGCTGACACAAAATTACTGGCGAAGATTAAAAAAAAAAAAAAAAAAACCATTTCAAGAGCGATTCAGTGAGAAACCTTGTGGTGATCGAAGCAAGATCACTACAGATCCATTGCCAACTCTTTTCCCTGTTACCCATGGATTTGAATTGTGAAAATGTAGAATCAAGGGATCTTGCCTAGATGTACATAAAAGAGACGGGACTAAGTGTTTATAGGAACAACTTGTCTTCACCTTTCTCATCTTTACACTGAGGAGAAATTCACAGGGATTATTTTTCTGGCAATGGCAATTGGGGTAGGTTTGTTAGGTGGGACAAGTGATAATGATGCCAGAGTTGTGGTGTTGACTAAGTTTGTGGGTGCCTTCTGGGAAGGACTGAAACATTTCTGAGGGACTTTTGATCCTCTCTCAAGCGGACTCAGTTTCTAATGAGTTTGTATTAGGGATCAAAGG